TGGCAGGGTGGCCCCGCTCACCGTGAGGCGTCTCTTGACGTAGCGGATGACCAGGAAGGTGTCGTGGTTGAGGTTGCGCACCATGGCCGTGCAGCCGCCCAGCTCCGTGGGCCGCCCGTCCCGCTCGTGGTCGTACGTCAGGGAGCCGTTGTTCACCATGGCTGAGATGTAGGGGAACACACGCTGCGAGGGGGGAAAAACAAAACATCTGGGTCTGGGAGAGGCCTTGGGATCCTGGAGAGTGACTGGAAAGGAGAGCTGAGGTGGCTACAAAGGGCTTCGCCCCACAGGAGACGGTTTGGGATGGTCCTAAAGGCCTTTAACCCCACAGGAGTCATGGTGGAATGATCCCAAAGTCCTTCACCCCACAAGGATCTGCTCAAAAAAACACTGGAATGATCCCAAAGTCGTTTAACCCCCACAGGAGTCTTTTTGGGATGATCCCAAAGGCCTTCACTCCACAGGGAACTGCTCAAAATAATCCTGGAATGATCCCAAAGTCGTTTAACCCCACAGGACTTATTTTGGAATGATCCCAAAGGCCTTCACCCCACAAAGATCTGCTCAAAACAACCCTGGAATGATCCCAAAGTCCTTCACTCTCCAGGGATCTGCTCAGCACAGCCTTGGCACAATCCCACTCCATCCCTGACCCCAAACTCCCCAAAAATCTGCTCCACACGACACCAGCACCATTCCTAGGGATCCCAAATTCCTTCATCCCAAATAATCTGCTCAACAAGACACTGACACCATCCCTGTGGATCCCAAACCCCAAAATTCTGCTCCAGGAGAGACTGCGACCAATCCCACTCCATCCCCGTGGATCCCAAACCCCAAAAAGCTGCTCCAAAGCCACTGGGATCACCCTGCTCCATCCTCGTGGATTCCAAACCCCAAAAATCTGTTCCCCAAGACACCAGCACCCTGCATCATCCCTGTGGATCCAAACTCCATCATTCCCCAAAATCTGCTCCAGGAGATGCCGGCACCAATCCCACTTCATCCCTGTGGATCCCAAACCCCAAAAATCTGCTCCAAAGCCCCTGGGATCACCCTGCTCCATCCCAGAGGATCCCAAAGTCCTTCATCCCAAACAATCTGCTCAACAGGACACTGACACCATCCCCATGAATCCTAAACCACAAAAATCTGCTCCAAAGCCATTGGGATCACCCTGCTCCATCCTCATGGATCCCAAACCCCAAAAATCTGTTCCACAAGACACCAGAACCCTTCATCATCCCTATGGATCCCAAACTCCAAAAATCTGCTCCAAAACCATTGAGACCACCCTGCTCCATCCTCATGGATCCCAAACCCCAAAAATCTGCCCCAAAACCACTGATATGACCGTGGTCCAATCTCATGGATCCCAAATTCCTTCATCCCAAATAATCTGCTCAACAGGACACTGACATCATCCCCGTGGATCCCAAACCCCAAAAATCTGCTCCAAAGCCACTGGGATCACCCTGCTCCATCTTCGTGGATCCCAAACCCCATAAATCTGCTCCACAAGGTGCTGGCACCATCTCACTCCATCCCAAACCCCAAAATGTGCCCCAAACCCCCTCACAGCCCCCCCACCCGTCAGGCTCAGCCCCAGCCATGCAGCAGGGCCCCCATCCCCCGCAGCCTCCCCGGGGAGGATTCCTGGCCCCGGGGATTGGGAATTCCGGGAATTGCAGGCGCCCATTCCGGAGGCAGTACCTGGTTTCCAGGGCTGTACCTCCTCTTCTGAGCCTGCCCTCCGGGGTGAGCACAAAGCAGGAGAGAGCACAGAGCAACAACAGCACCACAGTCACCGAGTCCAGCAGGGACCCCGAGTCCAGCAGGGACCCCCGAGTCCAGCACGGCCCCCCGAGTCCAGCAGG